GGTTTATCATTACTTTGAGAAAACAGATTATTAATGTAACTCTTTTAGAAGGGAAGATACTGTCATTTGTTCTGCGAATGTCATTTTCGAGCCTGAGACCTGAAAAACAGGCTCAGGGCTAAACTGTTTAAAAACGCAGCTACGGCCCTGCATTAAACTGCGGAGCGGCGTTCACACAGACCGCGGCTCACACCACTGCAGAGAGACCGAGCTGTCCCAGCACCTGAAGGTGGATCAGCTTCCCCTGGGAGAATTTCCCCTTCGACTGGTTTTGTTTTTAATAAGGACGAGAGCTTGAAACAAAATATTAATAACACACTGCCGTTTGAATCGATAGCGTTTAACAGACGGTCGCTGTTTGGGACGTTACGTTACAAAAATACTACGCAGACAGCGCTAGCTGGGAGATCGATCACTTTATTTGCTAAACTATGTGGTACTAAACCTGTTGGACTCCAAGCCTGTTTTTCAGGTCTCAGGCTCGAAAATGACATTCCCAGAACAAATGACCATATCTTCTAAAAGGGTTAAATTAATAATCTTTGTTCTCAAAGCAATGATAAACCTGTGAGTTGGATGTAGAAAAGTCAGAATCAATATAGATGTTTTTTATTTTAAAGAAAATTCAGATTGAACATGGTAAAAAAACTGTAAATTATAGTGTCCGTCCAAAAACAATTTTTTACTTATAGTGAAAATGTACCTTGGATGATGGTAAGGTAGACTAAAAGCTTTAGGAATCCAAATTCCAACATATAATAAGTACCCTGTATCAATATTGATGCAAAACAAGTGATATTTGACCTTTTTAGGGAGGTTTAGAAAAAACTCCACCTCTGAGGTGATTTGGGTGGAAATGGGGGTTTTACCGTTTCTCTGGAACCCATTGGTCGATTTTGATGATTGATATCTCTTTCGGACCGTTAGAGCCAATTGAATCGAAGGGGAGTTTTCACATAGACACCAACGTTAACACAAAAAGGTGGGGGCTTTGTGGATGCAGGTTTGCATCAGAGTGAACCTATCTCTCGCTCTGACATCTGCAAACGGAAAAGCAGGTTTATTGCTTATGGATTATCAGAAATCATTTCGAGGGGACACAGACACATTGGATTAACCTATGGATTAACTTCAGCAGCGTTTTTATCGTTTGAATGCCATTGAAGACCACTTTTGACCAGACTACAACACAGGTGAGCCATGTTAGCGTTTTTAGCTACCTAGCACTATATGTTTTGATGTGTGTCTTTTAGGGGTGTAACGGTTCACAGAAGTCACGGTTCGGTTCATACCTCGGTTTGGGGGTCACGGTTCGGTACAACAAGGAAAAGCAAAAAAAAGTCCCAAATGCATAATTTTGTTGCTGTTATTTATTTTTAACAGTAGTGCAAGTTTTGGTATGAAACTAAGGAACTCTAACATTTGGAATCATTAACTGTATTACACAGTTAAAAACAAACCACAAACAGTACCACACACACTCAGATGGCCATATTATCTATAATGGCTGATGTCAAACTAAAAGGTTAAATAAGCTGTACAACTAAAAAGAATGTCTTGAAAATATTAAAATAAATAATAAGAAAGTGTTTCAATCACAATCAATAAAAGGCAATACAGAACTGTATAACATCTCCTGATGTCAACATATAAAATAAATACAATGATAAATATAAAACAACATAAAATCTGTACCTTTTAGGAGCAATGTCTAACATGTGCAATTAACTTGTGAGTGTGTGTGTGAGGCCATTATGCCTAAATAAAGGTACTCAAGCTTTACTCTATTTTCAAGTTTGTCTTCAAAAAGATGAGTTTGTCTATGTTGTCAGCAGTGAGGGCAGATCTGTTGGCGGTAACTATGTCACCTGCCGTCGAGAAAACCCTCTCGCTGGGACTGAGACTGACTCGGATGTGATTGAGCATGTTTGACGTGTTACCATTAGCATACCGCACCGCTGTCGAACAACGCCGACACACCGTCCTCGTCCGATCCACAACTCGCACCCCATCATTGTTGTAGTCCACAGGGAACCCGAAATGTTCCCACAGCTGATTTAAAAGAAGCAGGTGGGTCTTCTAGCTCCTGTGTGTTGTGTGAACTCGCCATAGCTACTAACTTTTCTTCTTCTGTTTTGTTCTTGTTCTTCATTTGTCATTTACGGGCGGCTGGCTTTTAGGCCCAATACCGCCCCCTGTATTATATATAGTGTAATACTGCCCTGAGTGACAGACTTTTTTCCCACTCGTAAAAAAAGGCGTATTCGCCGTGTGACTGCATGTGCCGAACCGTGATGTCCGAACCGTGACGGTACGGGACGAATACGGATACCGTTACACACCTACTGTCTTTGTTTATAAAGTCGCGGGTTCTAATCATGGAGTGATAATGTATGTACCAAACGATTCTGTGTCATCTCACGATGCGAATCGATGTGTTGGATGTGCAGAAAAGATAAATAATAAGGTTTTATGAGTGAGTTTCTGTGCAGTAATCTCTTAGCATTTTTCGCGTTGCTAATTCAGAGGCTTGTAGTGATCACTCATTAACGCACTGACACATAATTAAATCTAGGAACTACAGGCTGGGGGTATTGTTCTGCACGGACACTAATGCCTACGGTACCTCCGGGGTATATACTGTGTCCTCATGCTTTTCTCTTTCTCTTGTCGTCCCGGGCTGCGACCCGACGACATGTCCTTTGCAGCTCTTGAATAAAGACAACTTTGCACCTTCATTGCACCGCCTCCGACTCCCTATCTCTCGGCACTACATTGGTGACCCTGACAACGTCTCGTGAAGTTTCTGGGACGGACCCGAACACGGTAAAAAAAACTCAGTTTTTTTTCTCGAAATGCCGGGGATTTTTGGGAACGTCCGTGGCTGCCACCCGCACGCGGACTGAGGCTCGGTGCGCCCCCCACGGAATGGCTGTGGACGTCGCTCGCCATTCCCACATCGTCTCGGCACTGGAAGACAGCAAGCCTTTCGACTACAAGGAGACGATACACGACCTGCTAGGTATGGATGAACCCGATTCCTTCCACATGGGGCTGTTTCTTCGGGACGTGCAACTGCACGTCCAGGCTGCGCTAGCTAACGACAACTAGCAGCTAACCACGGCTAGCAGCTACCGATGGCTGCCAGCTAGCGGCTAACGGCAACAGCTAACGGCTAGCTGCTAACGGCTATCGACATTCATCCGTGGACAGTACGACCCTTTTTGAGCTTTTTCTGGTGCCTGAGAGGAGGTTCGACCATGTCTGGTCGGCCTCGTGTGGACCCTCTCGCCTTTTCACCACCTTGACGGCGGCTTCAGACGTCCCCCATGCCTTCATCGGCCCGTGGGTGGCGCGCTTCTGGACCCCATCTCGCCCCGACAGTTTCGGACGTCGCCCATGCCTTCATCGGCCCGTGGGTGGCGCGCTTCGGAACAATGTGTAAAGCGAGAGCAGCCTACTACTCTTCATTAATAGATGAGAATAAGAATAATGCAACATTTCTTTTCAGCACTGTAGCCAGGCTGACAGAGAGCCACAGCTCCATTGAGCCTTGTATTCCCATAGCACTCAGTAGCAATGATTTTATGTGCTTTTTTAACGATAAAATTGTTACTCTTAGAAACAAAATTAATGACCTCTTGCCTTTGACCAGTATAGTGTTATCAACAGCTCCCGGAAACGTAAGTTATAATATTACACTAGATAGTAAACTAGAATGCTTTTCAGCCATAAACCTTGAACAATTAAATTCAATGATTCTCTCTTCTAAACCATCAACGTGTATGTTAGACCCAATTCCAACTAAGCTTTTGAAGGAAGTTTTTCCATTAATTAGCACTTCTTTATTAAATATTATGAATATGTCTTTATTATCAGGCTATGTTCCACAATCATTCAAAGTAGCTGTGATAAAACCGCTTCTTAAAAAGCACAACCTCGATCCAGAGGTTTTAGCCAATTATAGACCTATTTCTAATCTTCCGTTCCTCTCAAAAATTCTTGAGAAAGCGGTCGCAAAACAGTTGTGTGATTACTTAAAAATCAATGATTTATTTGAAGATTTTCAGTCTGGCTTTAGAACACATCATAGCACAGAGACCAGAGAGATGCTGCCTTCAGTGACCAGCAGAACCAGGGAGATGCTGCCTTCAGGGACCAACATAACCAGAGAGATGCTGCCTTCAGGGACCAGCAGAACCATGTAGATGCTGCCTTCAGGGACCAGCAGAACCAGGGAGATGCTGCCTTCAGAGACCAGCAGAACCAGGGAGATGCTGCCTTCAGGGACCAACATAACCAGGGAGATGCTGCCTTTAGGGACTAGCAGAACCAGGGAGATGCTTTCTTCAGGGACCAGTAGAACAAGGGGAATGCTGCCTTCAGGGACCAGCAGAACCAGGGAGATGCTGCCTTCAGGGACCAGCAGAACCAGGGAGATGCTGCCTTCAGAGACCAGCAGAACCAGGGAGATGCTGCCTTCAGGGACCAGCAGAACCAGGGAGATGCTGCCTTTAGGGACTAGCAGAACCAGGGAGATGCTTTCTTCAGGGACTAGCAGAACCAGGGAGATGCTGCCTTCAGGGACCAACAGAACCAGGGGAATGCTGCCTTCAGGGACCAGCAGAACCAGGGAGATGCTGCCTTCAGGGACCAACATAACCAGGGAGATGCTGCCTTTAGGGACCAGCAGAACCAGGGAGATGTTTTCTTCAGGGACCAGCAGAACCAGAGAGATGCTGCCTTCAGGGACCAACAGAACCAGGGGAATGCTGCCTTCAGGGACTCTGTACATTAGCAGCAGGGTGAGATGTTCATAGTCTCCAGCAGAGGGAGACACAGCTCTCCTCTTTGTTTCTGTGTGTGAGAACATTCAGTCTCTGAAGCATCAGGACTACATTTCCCATGAGCCTCCTCTCTCCCTGCTGAGGAAGTAGAGAGGGAGGAGAGTGGGAGGAGAGGGGAAGGAGAGTGGGAGGAGCTTAGGAGTTTGGGAAAGAATGTGAGGAATTCATTTCCTGCAGCTCCGAGGAGCAGATATGGAGCTCTGAGTCTCTGAGACTCCCCCGATATCTCTCCCACAGAGACCCTCACCCACAGAGACCCTCACCCACAGGAGGGGTGAGAGGAGGGAGGATAATAGTGATGGCAGAGCCTCTGTTGAGGAGAACGTTCTCCAGACTGAGAGGACGAGACAGGAGGGACAAGCTGAGCGGTGAGACTCTCATTCTTATACACATACATATATTTATATATATGTGTTACTGATGGATGTTAGTACTGACTCACTGTTTCACTACTGTCCAATGTTTACATACATTATGTACTGCAGTAACTGTACTAATACTACAGTACTAATACTCTGTTAGTTAAAGTACTTATACTGCAGTGTGTACTCTTGTGCAGTAACAGTACTGCAGTATCCATGTGATGCTGTACAGGAGAGTATTCAGTATCAGAGAGAGTAAACTAAACATACCTGAAGTACCTGAACATTGTACTCCAGTTCAGTACTGAGTACTACACTCCACCTCTGTATACAGTATACACATGTATATGTATATATATGTTTGAGTATATTTGCTGCTGTGTGAACTCCAGCTGAGGGTCTGTAGGTCCTGTGTACTGACCTCTAATGTTCTACATTACATATACACATGTAGATGTATATATGTACATCTATGTGTACACAAGTGTTGCTTTATGAACAGAGCTCTGCAGAAACGCCACTGACAGTCTGCAGCCATGCTAACATGCTAACACAGAGTAAACGGTGTATATATTATATATATATATATATATTGTATATATGGTGTGTGTTAGCACTGACCGCACATCACACACACACACACACATGCACACACACACACACACACACACACACACATATACACAAATACACATACAGACACACACACACACACATACAGACACACACACATACATACACACACACATACACATATACACACACACACACACACACATACATACACACACATATACACACACCAACATTAAACACAGTGAGAACAGAACATCCCATAACACATGTTTCACAGTCGTCTCTGTGCAGGGACTCTGTGCTACAGTTCCTCACACAGAACCTCATGGGCTCTCCTGGGTTCTCCTGTGTTCTCCTGGGCTCTCCCGGGCTCTCTCGGGTGCTCCTGAGTTCTCCCAGGTGCTCCTGAGTTCTCCTGGATTCTCCTGGGTTCTCCTGGATGCTCCTGGGTTCTCCTGGGCTCTCCTGGGTTCTCCTGGGCTCTCCTGGGTTCTCTTGGGTTCTCCTGGGCTCTCCTGGGTGCTCCTGGGTTCTCTTGGGTTCTCCTTGGCTCTCCTGGGTTCTCCTGGGTAGTCAATGGTTCTCCTGGGCTCTCATCGGTCCTCCTGGGTGCTCCTGGGTTCTCCTGGGCTCTCCCGGGCTCTCCTGGGTTTTCCTGGGCTCTCATGGGCTCTCCCAGGTTCTCCTGGGTGGTCATGGGTTCTCCTGTGTGCTCATGTGTTCTCCTGGGTTCTCCTGGGTCATCCTTGGCTCTCCTGGGTTCTCCTGGGTCCTCCTGGGCTCTCCCGGGTTCTCCTGGGCTCTCCTGGGTTTTCCTGGGCTCTCCTGGGTTCTCCTGTGTCCTCCTGGGTTCTCTTGGGTTCTCCTGGGTTCTCCTGGGTTTTCCTGGGTTCTCCTGGGCTCTCCTGGGTTCTCATGTGTTCTCCTGGGCTCTCCTGTGTCCTCCTGGGTTCTCCTGGGCTCTCCTGGGTTCTCCCGGGCTCTCCTGGGTTCTCGTTGAGAGGTTTCGGGAACATTTTGTGTCAGGAGTTATTTTTAGCTCTGCACTCAACCTCTCTGACAGACAGGAAGTCGTTTAACACACACACACACACACACACACTGCTGAGAGGAAGTGTTAATACTTTAATATTAAAATAAATATATAACAATGTAATGATGAGCCAGGCTCTGTGCTAAGCTAACAGGCTAACAGCTCGTCCTGTGTAACACGGTTTACTCTCCAGCTTCCTGTAATCAGATATGTGTATGTGTGTGCGTGTGCGTGCGTGTCAGTGTGTGAGTGTGTGCGTGCATGTCAGTGTGTCAGTGTGTCAGTGTGTGTGCGTGTCAGTGTGTGTGTGTGTGTGTGTGTGTGTCAGTGTGTGTGTGTGCATGTCAGTGTGTGTGTGTGTGTTTTGTCAGTGTGTGTGTGTGTGTGTGTGGTTGTTTAATGACAGATGATTGGATGTTTACACTGAGCAGTCTGATAGAAAGACAGATAATGTAACACACACACACACACACACACACACACACACACACACACACACACACACACACACACACACACACACACACACACACACACAAACACACACGTTTTTCCCTCCCTCTCTACATCCTCGGAAATCTCCTTCATGGCTAATGAGTGTGTTGGATTTTCAGAATAAGAGCTGATTAATGTGAGTGTGTTGGATTTTCAGAATAAGAGCTGATTAATGTGAGCTTGTTGGATTTTCAGAATAAGAGCTGAATAATGTGAGTGTGTTGGATTTTCAGAATAAGAGCTGATTAATGTGAGTGTGTTAGATTTTCAGAATAAGAGCTGTTTAATTTGAGTGTGTTGGATTTTCAGAATAAGAGTTGATTAATGTGAGTGTGTTGGATTTTCAGAATAAGAGCTGATTAATGTGAGCTTGTTGGATTTTCAGAATAAGAGCTGATTAATGTGAGTGTGTTGGATTTTCAGAATAAGAGCTGAATAATGTGAGTGTGTTGGATTTTCAGAATAATAATAATGGGTTTCATTTATAAAGCACTTCATATTTCTCGCCTACAAAGCCCTTAATGGGCAGGCGCCATCTTACCTTACCTCTTACCGCCATTTTCTTAATCTCTTTCATTTTTTGTAAAGCACTTTGAATTGCCTTGTGTTGAAAAGTGCTATATAAATAAACTTGCCTTGCCTTGCCTTAAAGAACTCATTATACCCTACTGTCCTACTAGGGCATTGCGTTCCAAGAATGCAGGGTTGTTGGTTGTTCCTAGAGTCTCTAAAAGTACAATGGGAGCCAGAGCCTTTTCTTATCAAGCTCCACATTTGTGGAATCAGCTTCCAGTTTGTGTTCGGGCGGCAGACACCCTATCCGTTTTTAAGAGTGCGCTTAAGACCTTCCTTTTTGATAAAGCTTATAGTTAGGGCTGATTAGATTCAGCCCCTAGTTTAGCTGATATAGGCTTAGTTTGTCGGGGGACATCTTACTTCTTCCTTCTCTCTGTCTATACCTGTGTACTCTCATGTTCCGATTAACCCAGCTTCCCCAAATGTCTTTCTTTTTGGTGTCTGTATACGCCAAATCCGGATGATCTGGATCCGGAGTCATGGATGATCCTGCGCTCCTCTGTCCTGGATCGCGAGCCCTGGATCTTGAGTCGTGGCTGTGGTCCTGGATCATAGGTCCTGGATGGATATCCTCGTGGATTCATCTTCCTATTATACACACATGCATTTCCAAACATTTGGACTACCTATGTTGCAAATGTATTATCTTTTCAATTTACACACGGCATCTATTGCACGTCTGTCCGTCCTGGGAGAGGGATCCCTCCTCTGTTGCTCTCCCTGAGGTTTCTCCCATTTTTCCCTTTAAACTGTGGGTTTTCTTCAGAAGTGTTTCCTTGTACGATGTGAGGGTCTAAGGACAGAGCACCCTCTGTCCTTAGACCCTCACATCGTACAAGGATATTTTGTACAAACTGTAAAGTCCACTGAGACAAATGTAACATTTGTGATATTGGGCTATATAAATAAACATTGATTGATTGATATTTGACTTCAAATCCCGAAGTGCTACAGGCAGTGAGCATGAACAGTATAAAAACATTACACAACACGGTAGAATTAATAAAAAGCAATAATACAAATAAAATAAAAGGGTGGTAATAAATAAAAGGTCTAGGGAAAGGCTTTATTGAACAGATGGGTTATGAGGCCTTTTTTAAAAGCCTCCACGGTCTGTGGTGCTCTCATGCTGTCGGGGAGAGCGTTCCACAGACTGGGGGCAGCCGAGCAGAAGGCCCGGTCTCCCATAGTACGGAGCTTAGTCCTGGGGGGTCTGAGGAGGTTGGTTTTGCTGGAGCGGGTGGTCCGCAGGGAGGTAAGGGGGGTGAGGAGTTCCTTGAGGTAGGGGGGGGGGCAGTTCCATGGACACACTGGTGGGTGAGGACGGAGACCTTGAATTCGATCCTCAGTTCCACGGGGAGCCAGTGTAGTGCTTTTAAGGATGGGGGTGATGTGATCGTATTTGCGCACCC